AGCTAAAGTGTTTACTATGATGCACTTTAGAATGATCTCCATTTCACCCAGGGTCATTTTTATATGGTTCAGGTTAATTTGTAATGCAATGGCATTCTCTCTCATCTGTCCACTCAATTTTTAGTGCTTTAAAGTTGTTCAAAATACTATAAATGTTAAATCTGTCAATGGCCTTAGTTATTGGCACCTATAAGTAAGTATTCCGTCAAGATACCTTGACAGAACTTGGCACCACCATTTTACAGAATCTGACTAGATAGGACATGTAAGATTGGAGTACATCTATACTACCCATTTGAAGTACTCCCAGTACAGGCAGCCCTCGACTTATGTTTCGAGTTACAATGTTTCCCATTTACGTTTATAAATTGACACTGTTTCAACTTTATGATGTCAATTTTGACTTTACAACACTTGATCCGATGTGACGCCATGCCAGTGAACAAGTTCGCTGCATTGCTCATCTCCCTGAAAAACACCTGTCCAAACTTCCTTGGACACTTTCTTTAAGAAAGCAGACAAGACTCCAGAAAAACCTGTAGCCAAGATTTCTGAGAAGACTCTAGCTAAGAACCCTTCAAAAAGTCCAACCAAGAGCCTTTAAAAAAGTCCAGCAAAGTCACCTCAAAGAAGTCCTTTCAAATCAATGATTGCTATTTACAATATAAATACATTAATGTAGCTATATTACTCATATACAATTGATCAAATACAAAATTCTGGGGTATTTTTGGTGAAAATAGGGCATCAGGGCTTGGTTCAGGAACCAATCCCCCATTTATAACATTGTTTCTTATGAGAAAATTGGTTCTGAATTACAACATTTCGATTTAAGACGTGGTTTTTAGGAACCAATTGTGTTGAAAGTCCGAGGCCTGCCTGTATAACATCACAGGCTCTACAAAGGATAATAAACATGTTATCTAAAGAAGCTTCTTCCTGCCCCAATCCTTTAACTCAATGAAAAAAATTAGATCTTATGAAACTTGCTCTTTTTAAAACCATGCTGTTAAAATGACGATACGTTTCATTACTTCTTATGCATTCAGATTTTTTCCAGTGTTAAAAAAGGACCAAAGTTGAATTTACCTCATTTTAATCACAAAAAGCAGTTTCTCCCTATTTGGTAGATAATACATACCACATTTGCCCATTTCCTTTGCACTATACAAGAGAGATTTTTCAAAAGTAAATGATAGCTGTTCAACAGATTATTTGATTATTTCAGGACCCTGGGATGTAAAAATCACTCAGAACTGCTTCATTTATGTTCTGTCTAGTGAAAGTAAATAATAAATCCCTTCATATCACCATATCCTTAATTTAAAAAAAAGAACAAAACCCCTCTTTTTTTACATTGCTCCTTTTGGGATTAGGCTCCCCCCACTCCATTTTTTGTCTGTTCATACTTTTCCTGTAAGGTTTTCTTTTCCTTTCCAACTCATTTCCTACACCCATGCCCACCTTTCTTCAAAGCCATGCTTTAATCTTTGGATAAATTATGAAATAATCAACCATTTTCTCTTCTTTCAATTTTCCCTAACAAATGAACTCCATTGCACCTCAAGTAAGCCTTTTAACATTATCCATTTCTCAATCTATAGTTTTAATACTTCCTCCCTAGTATCATGCAACTATGTTATTCATTTTTTTTGGAGAGTTGCTTCACTGAAATGCAGTATCTTTATTCCAAGGAACCTATTCTTTACTATGCTGAATTCAAATTCTTAGCAAAGGGGTATGAAGTTGTCTTCTTAACAAGTTGGGAACTTCTGAGCCATATTTTGCAGTATACATTATTCAACATGTATGTATGAGTAGAAAGAAGTAGGTAGCCATGTTACTCTGAAGTCAAGCAGAAAGTAGGGCAAGGTGACATCTCAAAAACTTGTTCAGAAAGGCGTAAATTTTCATAGGTGACAGTCTTTGTTGAATGCACCTTTTTGAATGAGTCTTTAAACATACCACGCTGCCTTGCTGCCTGCCTGACATGCATTTGAACAGTCAGTTCTATTTACATAGACCCCAATACTAGCGGATGTGAACACGAACACTAGTGAATATAGTCTCAGAGCACCCATGTAAGATAGAGGTGTTAACTCATTTTACACATCTGACATAAGGTACAGAGAGATTAAGTGGGTTGTTGAGAAGTTTTTGATAGGGTCAGAAATGAACCTATAATTTCAGCCTCCAAGCACAATGCCTCAAACAGAAGACACCCCCCCCTCCCTCCCCCCGCCTAGTATACAACATTAATTTGGTTTCCAAACTTCTCAATGTTTAGGAGCTTATTTGAGTTTCCTAAAACTCTGTGGTCAAGACCAGATACTGGCTGCTATATGCCATTTCTTTTTAATTCCCTTTATCCTTTACCCCAACTTTTTTGCCGTTACTTTCTATTCATCATAAATTTCTCTCTCTCTAGTTTTATGTGCACTTCTCCCCCCCTCTCTCTCCATCCTGTATGATTTGTACTCCGACATTCTGGAAAAGGAGAAGGGAAGGTCAATGTGGGTGCTTGGGGCTTTGTAGTACTCCAGTATCAAATGTCAGGGTCTGGAGTACTGATAATTATGAAGGAATCAACCAAATGGTCTGGGGCATCTCAGAGACATTTTTATAAGAAAGAACTACCTATTAATTCTATTACACTGTGACATCTATTTTGCTGGCCAAAACAATTTGTAACAATAAGCAAATGGGCCAATCATTCATTTAACTATTGTACATCTGTTGAGCTCAAAGACTGAAAAAGAACAAAAATGAAAGTTAGGTTGGTTTTGGTTCCTGACTCCTGCTCATAAGTCACTTTTCTTCACAATTTTAGGGCTTATAAGTAGAGACCTACTTAATTTGCAGTTTGTAAATTTTATGGAAACTGCAAAATCCAGGATTGTCCATGAAATAACAACAACAAAAAAACCTTAATAAAAATAAAATACTGGCTCCCTGGTGGGAGCTATCCTCTTGTCCCTCCTCCCCCTGCTGGGGCCTCTGCCAATCAGCACTGAGGGACAGAGCCAAAGAAGAGCAGGCAGCTGTCAAGATGGCAGCTGCCCCTAATCCCTTGTCCCCCTGGGGCCTCTTTACCAATCAGCACTGATGGGCATGGCCACTATGAAACCTGGTAAGTACCACCACAATTTAAAGAGACCCCTACTTATAAGCATTGAGAGAGTGTGAGACCATATGCCACATGCCTCATATTTTAAAGTAGCAAAATATTGTTATACTGCTAATACATAACAATTAATATGTTAACTTGTGCCTTTTTAATAAAATTGAAACAAAAAGTAGTCTAAATTACAGCAGCTTATAGAGCTAAAACTGTCCACATCTTAGAAGCATACTGTAATTGAGATAAAAATTATAACTGCAAAATGTTAATGCTTCATAGACATTTAAAGCCACAAAAAGCTTCAGTTAGGTTGCTCAGTTGTTTCTGATCTATCTTGCCTCCAGCTTCACTGCTGTAATAAAAACTTTTTTTCATAGAATGTGAGAATCTCTCCTTTCTAAGTGAAGAAAGAAGCTACAAAGACCTTTGGTTAATACAGATTAGCCCTTTTCCTGGTTAGTTTCCCTAGTACTAAGAGACAAGAAGATCTTTTGTTGTCTTTTGCAGTTGAGGTTGGTTGTCTTACTTGTATTTGGGTTTAAAGCTACCATAAATGTGTAGCTTTTCACCTGCAGCACAGGATCTCAGGATTACAGTATTTATGACTATACAAAATATATAATTAAAAAAGCAATTTGTAGAATTGGTTATCAAAAGATGCTTCTCATTTTAAATGAACCTCAAATATTTGCTTCCTCACTCCTAGTTCATAATTTGGCTGGCAAGAGCATAAGTGTTGTCATACCACCTTTTTAATTGCTATCCTTTTTTGTTTAACAGCTATAAATGATTCTCATCAATTTTTATAACTATGGCAAAACTGTACTTAGCCAAGCTGTACTGATTCTTGATTAAACCAGACTTTCTCCTTTTGAAATTACAAACATAAGAGGCAATTGTTTTTAGTTATTATTTTTCAAAATATATTATTTGCACACTTTATGCCTGTAACACCTCACATTGATTACAGGAAAATATAACAATGCAATCAACAAGGGTAACCCACTAGGAATAAGAATTCTGTTCATTTGATGCAGAGCTTTATGCATCAGTCAACTCTGATCGATAAGAAAACTATACATTTTGAAATTCAGATTTAATGCGTTTTCAAGGAACTGCTGAGAAAGAATAGGAGCAACTTAAAATAAATACTGCAATAATTCATACTGAAAATTGTTACAGTGATATATTGTAAAGTTGTCCTAAATAAACCTAGTGCTTCAAAAATTTTACCAATGAATTTGTATTACAAAATATGTGAAAATACAATAAGATACCACAAACAATGTCCTTTTTGGGTCAACAATGACACCAAGATGACTAGCTCTTATATTTAGTTTGTTAACTGTATGTATTGAAATGTACAAATCTCAGTTTGGTTGAATTCTAAATACCATCCCCACTCAAATGTATGTTTAGCTTTCTCATCCCTCCTCTAAAACTACTGCCAAACCTTCTGTCAAAACCAATATTTTTCTTAGACCTTTATGTTTAGCCATTACTTATTTTCTACTACTATGTTTTGGCAGCAACTATTTATTGGTCTGTTATTGCAAAAAGTGCAATATAACAATAAACCAGTCTGAAGGTCATTTTATATCTTGAGGATACATACCATATATTTCTTTAAAAATAATCATACTTTTGTAAGCAATACTTTACAGTAGACACCTTAAATCTACCATAGATGTAAAACTTAAAACGAGAAAAATTTAGGCTCTAAATCTTTATACACATATTTATATTCAGATTTCTATATATATTATATATATACACACACACAAGAGTATATATAAAATATATATAATCAGATTCAAAAACTGAACAAAAACTGGGCACTGTACATAATATCTTTTTAAAACTCAAACAATAGAAAAACTTTAAACATTAAACAATTTTAATAAAAGTTTCTGTACAATGCTAAGCAGTTTTATTTACATATAGAAAATGTAATAGGAGTAGTGTTTGAAATTACAGAACTCCTTAAAATTTCAATGGCAGGTAATCTGGAAAAAATAACAGCATTCCATTCACAAATATTTTCAAGCAATAAATATGTATTTATAAATAGTGTAAATTTACATCAAGATTAGAAACAAAAATCACAAATCTGAAGTTTATTCCTTAGTCTATGTGCAACCCATTTATCTTTGTGACTTGGCTGTTAATTTTTTTAAATTTTATTTAGGAACCAAAAGTGTAACCGTTATGGTTTCAAAACAAGACAGAAAAACATAAAAACAGTAAAAAATTTATCACCTAACTTTTCACATTAAAAAAAAAAAATGTTGCCCAAAGAAAGACTTAAAATTTCTAACTACCTTACAAAGAAATGACCAGCTAGGCTAGTACTTATTCCAAGGGAAATTCTGAAGGGGAAAAATGGATGAAACCAACTCATCAGCCCAGAAACGGAGAAATACAAAAGAGGTGGTCTTCAAGTCAGTAGTCTGTATAATGTTGCCAGTTTTGTCAGATATATACAAAACATGGAATTATTTTTTTTTTTGAAGTACAGCTGGATGAGCTTTATTTGTTTTGAGTTCTGGAGTAGGAGGCAGTGCTCTCTCCTGTCCAGTTGGTTGACACTCCGCACTTGGAAGGTTGCATAGACACAGCTTTCAGCCAGCAGCCTTACGGGATAGCTACAAAAATCAGTGGTGCAGAACTGGGTCACTTCCTGAATATCAGAAAAATATTCATTTAATGTCCATGGAAAAATGTCAAGATGAGGAGGATGGCAATGGTGGAGCCTGAAAAAGAAAATATATTAGATTATCTTTCCTACAGTGGTGTAAAGTTCAAATTACTCATTCAAGATGTGTGCAAACAATATGTACAAAATTTAAATGACATGAGTACAATTAGCTTTATGTTTGAGGGTTCTTTATTTGCATGCTGTCTTATATTTTTTCTGCACATACAAGCACGACATGTATTTTACGTTTAGAGTATGTCAATAATACTGTCCATCGTGTAGTGCAGGGGTGCTCAACACCTGGCCCACAGACCAGATCCCGGCCCTCCCCAGTGCTGCATCCTCCAGCCTGCGGGGCTCCCCACAGGTCTTAAAACAGGGGTGTGCAAAATACGGCCTGTGAGACCATTCTACCCAACCCGCAGGGCCCCTAAAAAATTTGGAAACTTAATATTTCTCTGCCTATGGTTCCTGTAAAAAATGGCAGGAACCAAGGGCAGTAGGACACAGGGGAAGCCTGGTGGGCTCCAACAACAGCCCCCAGCCAGAAGCCCCAGCCGTGGTTTCTGGGCTGGGAGCATGTGGCTGGCCTGGCGCGGGAAGCTCAGGTAAGTGGGGGGCACCCCAGGCAAGGAAGGAGTGCCGGGGGGGGGAGAGGGAGAGGCTCCTCCTCACCCACATCCGATGTCCCACGCTGCAACTGCTTGCAGCCCACATGGGGCTGCCTGGGCCCGCTCCAGACAGCCCCACGCAGGCTGCGCCTGCAGTGTAGGGCACCAGGCATAGGGTGGGGCCGCTTCTCCCCTGCGCTCAGCTTTTCCCTGGACTCCTTCCCTGTGTGGAGAAAAGCGGCCCCTTACGCAGCCCATGGCCAGTGCCCCACACTGCAGGTCCGGACAGCTCCGCACGGGCTGCAAGCAGCAGGCAGAGGCAGACCCAGGCAGGCTGTGAGTGGGTGCAGCGTGGGGCGCCGGGCATGGGGCAGGGAGGGGCTGCTTCCCCCCCCTCCCCCAGTCTGGCAGTGGGGCAGGTTACGAACTGGTGCTGAGCACATGGAACAGTGGCCCCTCGGCTGCCCTATGGCCAGTGCCCTGCACTGCAGCCACTCACAGCCTGCCTGGGCCTGCCTGTGCCTGCTCCGGACAGCCCTGTGTGCACCTGGGGTGCACACGCTCACCTGGGGTTCCCCATGCTCAGCACCAGCTTCCTTCCCTGCTGGCAAGCAGGGGGTCGGGGCTGTGCGCTGCCCCCAGCCTGTACCGTGGGGCTGGGGGGCACTTGGTCCGAGTGGGGGGAGCCAGTGGGAGCACAGGGCTCGCACAGGTATCCCGGGGCCAGTGCTGGAAGGGCCCAGAGCAGGGTGGCAAGAATGCGGGGTCCCAGCTGGTAGGGGCTCTATGGAACCAGGCCAGCTCCCCCCTCTCCCTACTGGTGCAGCCCAGCCTGGCTCCATGGACCCCTGCCAGTCTGCGCCCCGCTTTGGGCCCCACCAGTGCTGGCCCTGGGACACTGGCCCCAAGACATTGGGACATTGGTACCAAGATGGTAACCAAGGGGTGGGGCACCTGTCAAGGGGTGGGGCTACTCGCATGGCCCTCGACAGCCTACTAAAATTGAGTAAGCGGTCCTCTGCTCAAAATAATTGCCCGCCCCTGTCTTAAAATTTGATGGCAGGGAAGCAGTGGCATTGCTTCCCTGCTGCCAAATTTCTGCACTTGTGGAGAGCCCAGGGCTCTGATCTTGGTATGTGGGGCTGGGTGGGAGTAGCACAGAGCCCAAGACTTAACTGCCACACACAGGACCCAAGATCCTAGCATATGGAGCTTGATCCTGGTGTACAGGGCTGAGTGGGGTGGCACAGGGTGCTAAAGTTTGATCCTGGTGTGCATGGTCCCAGGGCTGAATTCTGGTGTGCAGTGCCAGTGTGGGGCCCAATCCCAGTGTGCAGAAGCCAACCAAGGCTCCACAGGGCTGGGCAGAGAAAGCAAGGGGCCCAAATCTTGGCACACAGGGCTTCACCCAGGCTGTGAATCATCTGGCCTGCAAGGCCAAAAGCTTGTGGATCGCTGATGTAGTGTAGTGTAGAGATATCCAAGTTAGCTTTAAAACAAGCCAACTTGGGCCTGGAAGCAGTCTAGCCAGGGCAACATGGAGATCCATGCAAATTAACATACTCTATTTTTTGTTCAAAGCTACTTGGCTATCAACTATACTTCAACCCTTTTTATCTTTGGCCACAGGCAGTGTTGGCAAGTCACAGAAATGTGTTCTTGGACAGTAAGAAGTCCTCCAAATGTCACCACTACCTAGTGACTTATGATACATTTATAAGACTCCTGGATGGCCATGGAGAGAGCCTCAGACTTCCCCACACAAAAACAAGGAAGTCTCCATGAGAACACGGTAGTAATGGTACCGTTTGTGGAGGAGAATCTGGGTCTTGCCCATTCCTAGCAATTTGTGGCAGAAGTTTGACTCCAGATGACATCTGACCATTCGATTCAAAGCTTTGGTTGTGCAGCACCACCGTTAAGACATGTCCGCATTGATTTCTCTTCGCCAGATCTTGGAGGACTCCTTACAAAAGGCTGATTTTCCCCAAAACAAATAATAAGTAACACCACAGACTCAGCCATGATACACTACCTGGCACCAGCCTGATCCCCCTTTGTCTACCCAAACACACCAAGTCTTCTCCACTAAATGTACTGAGATAACCTGTTTCCGTGACTTGCCAACCCTGCTTGCTCCCTCCGCACAGACTCAACTTGGCCTGTCAACAATGACGCTTGTTTTTTCCTCTCCTCAGTTGACTACACTTACTCTTGACACCAGCCACATCATCTGTTCTTTAAATGGTCATGTTCACTTTTAAAATGATACTAATAATGGCTCCCAAAGGCTGAAGATACTAGCTATGGGGTCCAAAAGTTGAAATCTTTTTACTTTAGGCCCAGATAAAATAATTTAAAAATCAACATAGCAATTACTTAGGTGAACATAATATTAAAAATAGAACTTGCCTCTACACAACCCTTCCTGCACAATTCTCTCCCTCAGAAATATGCGATAACAGGTATTTGCAGGATTTTCTGATGTTCATCATTTTAGTACCAGAGGACTTCACAAAAATTAATGGGTCTGATCTTTTAAGCATGAAGTGAAGGTCAACAATGTTGGTTTCTGTTAGACTAACAGAGGGGGTGAATTGCACAGGAGAACAAGAAGTCACCAGCCCAAGGATAGTTTAACCTTAAAAATAAGGTAAGCAGTGAGCTTTGAGCTAAATCAGTCTAAATCAAGTGAAAAGCAGATCTCCAAACACTTTTTGTTGCACCTAGAAAGGCATCAAAAGCCGTAACAATTTCTGGGTTGCAAATTCAATTACAATTTTAAATTCTCAAAACACTTTCTCCAATTATTGTTTACTTTGCTAAGGAGGCAAGATTTGTCATGAATAAATCTAGCACTACACACACACACACACACACACACACACACACACACACACACACAGTGTTCAGCCAAGCCACCTGACCTGCCTGCAATGACAAAACCTAGAGAAACATACGGGTAATCATGCACCAGTACAAGTTAACAGGCTACGTACAGCACAAGTCTGCAGACAGAAATGGTGATGGACCTGGTCTTTTCTGCTTTGTATTAGAAATGCAAAGGAGACCCCACATCAAAGAAAAAAATATTTGAGAACATCCACTTGCTCAGTAGGAAAACAAGGCTGATTTAAGGTTTTTAGTATACAGAACATCTTGCAGCTGTACTGACTTCCTACCAGACCAATGTATTAGAGTTGCTCTTGAAATTGGTGCTAGTGTCTCCAACTTTTATTGTTCTCATTCCTCCTCACTCTCCATTTAACCATTATGATTTTCAGATGGTCTCGCATGGATTTTTAAAGCCACGTCTTTATGAATTGCAACAGTCCCTGCAAACTCAATGGTATGTTCTGGTAAATTATTGTACTTTTTCCACAGATTTCTATCCCATCAATTTTCTTTCCCTGTAAAAATTAAATAATCAAATACCTCCATTTGAAACAGACAGTCGATGGCGCTCTAACACAACGGGCACCAAGACAGTAGAAATGCTTTACAAATCAGAGAGTTACGCAGCCACTTATTGATTTGACTTACTAATGTAAATTGGTCATAGACATGCATCAAGTCCTCCATTTTGTACTGTTCTAGCACCACAAAGTTTTCCAGGTTTGCGCTTATCTTTCGTGCACAGTCTTGGCAATGTACAATGTAGGTCTTCCGAGAATTGCTTTCACTTGTGACAAAAAGCAGATCAAAGACTTCTACCTGTTGAATCAGAAACAGAAAGCAATGTTAAGATCTCACTTTGGAAAGTTACCAAAAATCAAGCTTGCCTGGTTTGGTATTTACATCCTGACTTCAAGGGTCTGCAGAAAAGAAAAATAATGATAGCCAGTGAAAATCCAAACTTCTAGGATTCAGACACAGGAAAAGGTACTCTTTTATTCAATCCAAAGAGGTAATGCTACTATTAGTATTTTAAGATGTTTGGCTAAATGACACTCAGAAAGGGACAAATCTTTCCCCAGTATTAACTAAGCAAGTTTCACATTCTGACTGACACTTACTCCTATAATCCTTACACACCTGTAAAGAAAGATAATTTAAAAGCCTTATTCTACCTGTTTTGCAGAGATGGGTAAAGACAAAATTAAGGGCAAGATTTCCCCCATCTACTGCTCTTCAGTTCCCTGTTTTGGGCGCTCAGCCTGAGACAACCTGTCAGCCAGACTGGTTTTCAGAGGTGTTAAAAATACTGCTTTTCATTTGGTCTTCAAAGTTGTTACCCAATTCTTCAAAACAACATATTATTGAACACTAGGGAGACTCAAATTGCCAAGCAAGAATGATATGTTCTGTGAAGACGCCACACTGCAGCTGTTTGTCTATTTCAGTGGTCAGAAACAGGCCTAAAGACTTTAAAAATAGAGCCCAGTCTATCAAATTCAGTGTAGATGGATTAATTTAAGAATCTACCCTAATGGAAAAATAACTTGATTTCTTACTGCAAAAACAACTATAACACATATCTAGAAGACTTGCTTGTAAGCTCTTCTGGAAATGGTACTGTGTCCTTCTTACATATAGAATGCCTAGCAGACTGTGGGGTATATTGCAACTCAAATAAGATATAGATAATTAACAATAAGAACAGTAGCAATAATGGAAGACAGCTAACAATAGAAATAAAAAACAATTTGAAATGGTAAGGCTTTTTATTTAATTCTACTGACCTCACAAATGCTACAGTAATGAGCTGGCTCATCCTTTGCTCGCCCATGCCAGACAATCTCTTTTCCTGCAGCAATTAGAGCTTCCCTTAAAGTCTGACACTGCTTGAGTGTTCTTAACAGGCAATACCTATCACAGAAATCAGAATGAGATAAATGTACACACATTTCCACTGTGTTTAGCTAAAAGCTGAACTTTGTGTAGATTTATTCAACCCTAATGCCCCATAATAGTTGGTACATTTTAAGTGGAACACTTGCATTTTTTAAACACAATACAATAACACTGTTTTCTATTGTAGCTTGTCCCTGCATAATTCCTTGGTTTGTAACTATCACCCAGAAAGTTTGGCTGATTTATCAAGCTAAAATTAACTGTTGCATTATGTCACCAGTCCAAAACATTGAAATAAACCTTCCTAAAATAACCAGCTTCTAGTTAGCCAAAGTTGGTAAATTTAAGTTCTGGTAAAAATTATGCTGCACAGTCTGGAAATGAAAGTGATCCTCAGCTAGCTATCAGAAATGTATACTATTGAACTGTTCCAACTAGCAGAGAAACCAAACACACAACTCTCAGAAATCTGCAGAAAAAGTGTCTAAAATACAAGCACATTTTTACCTTTACTACACTTACTGCACCAATGAACAAAAGAAAGTTTAAGCGCTCCCAAATGATTTACAATTGTTTGCAATACTTACATAAATGACCAACCTCCTCCCCCCTCATTTGTAAAGCAGTTAATTATTTTGCTTTCCAATGCTGCATGAGCTACAAAGGTTCTCAAAAACGATGAAAATGGGCAAAATCAGTCCTATATTTCAAAACTGTAACATGTAATTTACAATAATTTTTAGCTCTCAACTACAGCTTGCAGTAGAATTGTAGCCTTTAATTTTCTCCTCTAAAGGGTGACTACATTACAGACACATTAGCCATTGAAGAAAGACTGGAAAATGTAAGCAGCAAAAATGCTGGATAGAAAACACAGTGAATATAAGTTTTGCCTACATTTTCTTTTAGACTTCTCTAGTTCTTTTTTTTCTTCCCAATTTAGTCTTAAATTGCTAGTGTACATGTTTTAGGTACTTGTTTCTTCTGTGTATTCCAAATGGTTAAAAGAATTTTCGATTTTACACAAAGATTATTCTGGAAAGATATTTCATACTTAAAATTGTCTAAGGTCTTATTAGAATCTTTACTGTACAAATTTTATAAACTATCAACACTACTCAGTTGCATTGAGCTTCCAGAAAAAAAGCTGAAATGCTCTTCTAGGTAATTCTTCTCTATTCGATATTACATTTTGAAGTCAATGGGACTCAAGCTCCTAAGGCACTTGGGGATGATCCCAATCTTTCTTGTAAGTGCTAACAAGTGGGCATATTGCTCAAAAGTGACCCAAATCAACAGGGTTAAATGCTAAGCACTCTTATGCAAACAATACAATGAGATCAGAAGAAGCAGCAGCAAGAGGGAGTATGAATCTGTAATCTCCGTGAGGAAGGCATTCCCCAGGGGATCCAGTCCTTGCTCCTAGGATTTTCTGTTTTTTAAATCAAATACTAAAAGATAAATTGAATACACGGTCCTGGAAGCATAGACCAGATCCCAAGTTTGTTATCCTCTAGGCTGCTCAACAGCCCCACTTAATACAGCAGGAAGACAGAGTAGCTTATACTTGATTCTAAGTCTAAAATGAAATGCCTATGGATTTTCTCAGTCTAACATGGAGTCACCTAATGATTCTATATGACGAAACTATTTAGCAGAGGCAGAAGGAGGATCAATCTGGATTGCTTTTCATGATTGACATTCCTAAATTCTACTCAAATTCTGTTTAGGTGCTGAATAATTTGGAGCTGTCCCTTAGGGCTTTAAAGTTAAGCTCCTAAGCTTATATTCAGTCATGGGCAGAATGGTCTAAAGCTTACTCTTGACTATGCTAAAGTTTACTATTTTAAAATTTATTTTGGTCTGTGTGTGCATGCAAGTTCATCAAGTGCTCTGATATGGTACCCTCTTAAAGCAGTAGGCTCTAAAATTAAATAAACTTTTAAGCTGTCAGTTTTTTGTGTTATTGTACTGATGTTTAGAAGGCTCTTTGGGCAGGCTATATTTAACATGAAGCATGATAGTGTCCTTCCCATAAATGTTCTCCAGAATCTCAGCCTTTACATCCAGAAGTTTTCTGTTACAGTCATTAAGTACAAATTGTTGAATGTGTAACCATGAGTAAAGACTAAGCTAGGTCTGCCTGAGCTTGCAGAAAGCTTGAAACAAAACTACTCCAAATGATAACACAATTCTAAAATGTCAACATTGTTAACTATATAATTTCCATTCATAACATGTAAAAAAGCAAGTATCACTTAAGTAATTCAGTAGTATTTCCAAAAGTATGGGGTATTTGAAAGAACTGATAAGGGAGTTGGGGGCAGATGAAGCTGTATAAATTTACAGTTGCAAAATCTCAACATGGTGAAACACAGGATTGGAATGCGCCTCTTGGGGCTGCCACCTATGTTTGTAGACAACTACTTAACATCAAATGGGACTGAAGAGAGGTATGACTGATTTACTTCCCTGAAAGGAAGAGGAAGAAAATGGGAGGGATCACCTTTAAAAAATTTGTGAAATTCTGCTCTGCATAATTTACTATTACTTCTTACACTTCTTTTTGGTATTTGACAAAGTTTTCAAAGCCTGGAAAGTATTTTGTCCCATCATCTTGACAATATAGTACTGGTCTTTTCAAATTAGTAAAGAATATATTTATGCTACTGTAATTTAAAGATGGCTGGCTGCATATTTTCACAATCCAATGTTTACTCTTTTACTTGTGGCTTGTAATCAAAATCTCTGTTGTACCTTTCACTTATATCACATTTCCTTTATTACATTTTAAGTCTATTTTATAGGGCTATTATTTATTTAAAATGATATTTAAATTTTAGAATTAAATGATCATCTTCCAACTTAATATTATGCCCCCATTTATTCCCCCTGCACCTATAGAATTTTTTCTTTCCTTTATGACATTTTTGCTGTTATTTAGTAAATATTAGAGGTGGTCTTCTCTCATCAAGTTTTAAGTAATTTTGGGTATTTCTATTTGGTCCCTCTCCATAATTTCAGTACAACAATATCTTTGAACACTGCTTCATGAAAAGCTTCTATTTTTTTGTGTTATTCAGAACAGTCCTGGGTTGCACATTAATTAAAATGTGTAAGCCTTCTTTTAAATTAATTTGACCACTTTTCACTTGCATAAGCATCATTAAGCTTCCCCCCACCAAATGTACATGTATTCTCATTATTCACATTTAGTTTATACAGTTTTTGAAGAGTACTCATCATCACCATGTATGCAGGTGGAAGGCATCTGTGTTTTCACCTGAATAGACACTCTCTCATATGCTGAGCCCCTAAAGAGCAGAGAGCTTGCAGTGTTGATACTGCACAGCCAGGGGTCCCCTCTGCATGCATCTCAGCATGCTCTGCAGGCTACTTCAGTCTGCCTGGGAACAGATGGAAGCAAAGCACAGGGCAGCCCTGACTGGCTGATCTGGACTGCTCAGGGTCAGCCTGCGTCTTCCTGCCACACAATGTGGGGATTGTGAAGGGGGTGCATCCTATTCCCTGCTCAGCTGGAGCAGCAGAGTCCAGCCCAAATGACACACTGTTTTCCTGGGGGGAGTGGAAAGAGGTATGTAAAGGATGGAGGAACAAAGCACCCTGGGATGCTAGAGGACTGCACTATAGCTTCTCTCAGAAGGAAATGTGTACACACATTCACTTTCCCAGAAGAAACTTTCCCAGGAGCAATTTAACCCTAGTTGTTCCTGGGCTATTTTTCTTTTAGAGCAGCCATTTTTGCTCTTAGAGAAAAATCCTGAACATCTGTACACTTGTGGTTTCTACTGGGAGAAAAGTGACTCTCCTAGGAGAAACTGAATGTCTGTACATGGCCAAAATCTGAGCTGATAACTAATTCCTTTCTGATGATGAAGTTCATGCCTGTATACTGACAGTCTATCAACTGAAGTTTAAAATGGATGGCTCTCAAGTGCTGACATCCAGAGAATGTAGAAGGAATGGACACAGAATTTCCAGTTGGCTCCATATCTTCCCAATGAAGCAGCTCCAGATGACAGGCTTGGATAACTGCCTTTCTTACTGAGGAAAACTCTTAGGAGGGTTCAAAAACAGACAGTAATTTCTTTATGCTTCTGACACCTATCTTCGGGTATGCCTGTATCAGCAGGGGGTAAATTTTTTGGCAGGTGTGCCATAAATTAAGGCCTGTGCCCATCTCAAGTGCCACTCCAATTCTCTTCCCTTCTTGCTCTGCTTTCTGCCCCTTGCCCAATCTGCTGCTCTGCTGTTTGTTCCTTGTCCTATCTGCTGTTGCACCGCCTTTCTCCCTCCCTGATTTGCTGTAAGCCACACCCAGAGGTTGCCTGAGCCACTTATAGCATGGTGCCACAGGCTGGCCTCCCTCGTCTATGCTGGCCACATACTGATTGCAGTGTAGTGTACTCAAACTACTTTTAAACTGGTTAGTTCTGATACCAAGAGCAATCTAGTTGTGGCAGCCTGGAAGCAAGTATAGGCTAATAATTTACTCTGCTTCTTGAATAAATTAGTGAAGTGTTTTTTCTCAAGGGTGCACCAGAAATCAAAATCTGGATGATTTGTTTACTTAGTGAGACTTAATCCAGATAAAATGAGAGATCTTGGTAGACCGGAAAAAACAAATGCAAAGTAGGGGGGAAATTGTGTGATTATGTCCTTCTGTGGTGCATGTTGGAAACTTAGGTATGGACAAACCATCTTTTCAGCTGATTTAAAAGGGGAAGATAGCATGCATCATCTACATGGTTTGTTAATTTGGTATGATCATGGTACAAATTAGTTAACCTAGCCTAACTTTGACACTGAGCGAAAGACTGTTACAGTTGCACACTTGCCTACCTACAGAATCAGGCAAATGCAACAGATTTTTACATCTGTTCATAACTGAAGGCATCTAATTAGGTTCCAAGCTGCTGTCATGCAGAGAGCAAAGACCAGACACAATGACTGTTTTCTATATCCATGTCAGGTTGGGATATTTCAACCTATTTTCTGGAGGGAGAAGTTGGTAACCTTATCCACGTTTGTCACTTCAGGCTCTGAACTACTTTGATGCAATTCCAAAAATCTAAAACTTGTGCAAAACGTGACTGCCCAACTCTTACAAGTATGTCTTGCCAATAGGTCTTTATATACTGATATAATGATCTATGTTGGATGTCTGCTGGCTTTGGAAAGGGCTGTTCAAAGAAACCTGCAAAAGATATTTTTTTAAAAAGTAAGCTTTTCTGCCTCCCTACAGCAAATGGAGACTGCTCATTCTTTTCCTGTTTATTTTTTAGATAGCAATGTGAATCTCAGGCCAGGTACAGACATTACACCTTTACCAGTATAAATAATTGGAAACTAGTCTATACTCATAATAGAACACATGCTCGGCACACAAAACCGATCTATACTGTATACCAAACAGAAGCTCCACATACATAGACTGGTTTAAAAATGGCAGAACCTGGTTTAGGATTACCCCACAGTGAACGGTGAACGTGTGTTCTGTTCGCTACTGATCTAGAACACCACTAACAGAAAATCATGCAACTTAGATCGATTCTTCCTCAGGCTTTTTAAATGTCTGTACCTAGCCTTAGTGAGACATGCCAGCAATTATGAGAGTAAGCACCAATGACTTAATTTAAAGAGTATAAATGTTGAATCTTTAACATGCTTTCTTTACGTACAGTGTTATTTCCTGTAATTAAATAGGCATGCACAAGCTACACACGCAAAATCTCCAAAATATATAGTTTAACAGTCACCACTCCAATCTTTTCCTTCTCTGTTTGCACTCTCATGGTTCTTATGATGTTACCATTTCACAAGTTTCCAAACCATAAAGTGTGCTTCAGTCTAAACATCACTCAAATTTTTACAGTAAAACAACAAGAGGAAATCACCTCAAATTCTTTATAGACCCTTTTCAAAAAAGTGAGCCATTTTTCAGTTTTTCTTGCAAGTTAAAAGCTAACTTTATAAATAGGTGACTTAAAGTGAAAATTTTTCAAAGTTTTGGTCATAGTTTGTTTCTCTTTCCAGGAACAACTGCTGGAGTTAGAATTGGCATAGCTGCTCAAGCTTGGAGTTTCCTTGGTTTGAAAGACTTGCTCTCTGATTAGTCACTTACTCTGAAATTCATTTCCCTTCCCCAAACTCTGGCCTAGAACACAAATATACTGGTCAGTAGAATATGGTGTAGATAGATGCATCTATCTTTTCATAAGTTCAGAGACTGACCGTACTGCTAGAAGTACTTTTGTAGGGACCTGTACAGCTTGAAAGGTATGATAAAGTTACTCTGAACCTAAAATAACCACTTTTAAAAATAAAGAATTAAGCAAAAACAAAGCAACCAAGGCCTACTACTTTAAAAATTTAAAATATTATCACCTCATTAATAAGTGAATTCATTGCTGGTGTGTTCAAAGCAAAACATGGAAAGAAGGCTTACCAAACCCATTATTCTTCCCTGTAAAAGATGTTTTAAGTTGTTTCTTTTGATGATAGGAGGATCTAAGTTTTCATTATATATGACTTATAAGAACAATTAAATTTAAGTTTAAGAATAACGAAACATTCTTTCCCACAGCTCACTAAAGGCCTGATTTTGCAGCTTGGTACATGTAGGCAGATGCCAATAGCTGTAGAAGGAGCCATCTGAGTCAATGGTAGCCTGTCTGCATGCACTAAGTTTCAGGAATAAGATTTTGGAAAACGTGAACTGCAAAGGTTAACTTCAGATGAAAATGTCTCCAGAAATCTAAAAAAAAAAAATGCCTGAAAGATGACACTGTATACCTAATTCACCTTGTTACAACAATATTCATTTCAGATAGTGTCAAATACAATGCAATAAAATGGGCATCACTAGAAAGTGTGTATTTATTTTGAATACTCTGGTTTAAAAATATCACCTTGTTTTTTCTAGAAGTGGAGTCCTACTTCAGTCTTTTCAAATTAAGTGTTATTTGAGTAAATCCTTCAATCTGATTTACTGGTAGTCAAAATAAGAACAGCGAACAGTCCGAGACAATGGATACAACGTTCAAAAAACCACTTACTTGATCATTTCAAAAAGCTTTGGATCTGAGACCTTGATATTTCGTGCCATGTTCCATGAAAGATGAACCATGGGTACTATTGACTTTACACTCTGCAGTTTATTCCACTCGTACCGTTCCACTGCCAATTTATATTGACAGGCTAGAAATAAACAAGTTATAGGAATATTAAGGCAAGCTGGCAAACAAGTAGACAAGATATCCAAGATCTCTTGGTCACACCCAAAATTTAGGTTTTGTTAAGATTAGAGAAACTGTATTGTATGATGCAGTGGTTGTGTTTACAGTTTTTACAGTGTTTTTTAATACATTGTCAGTCTACTACACTTAGGATAATTACAGCTTTAAATTTGAATATTCCTTTTTAAGATGCATTTCAACTTTCAAATATGTTAAACATCAAAAATCTAGCTTGCTAGATCTAGTTGCCTTTATTCTATATATATAATCCAGTAGTATTGGTACAGTATGTAATTATCTTGAAAAGGCAGATTACACTATTCAGAGATTTCCTGCGATGTGTCAAGCAAATTAAAGCTACGTTAATTATAAACGGGAGAGACTATGGAGAAAAAACTGTGTTAATTTTATACAGTTTACATGTTGATATTCAGACATAATTTAAGTCAATTTGTATGTTCCTGGAATGATCTTGCTAGTTTACTGTATCTAAACAAAGTTTATAATGGACTTCTAAGCATCTTTCTGGAGTATATATTATTTCAGTTAGACATCTGATAATTTTTTTTTTCTTCATTCTCACATCACTATTCCCACCAACACTCCTCCCCCATGCCTAATGACTATTATAGCAGCATTTCTGAAACAATTAGCCAGAGGAAATTATTGGGTTTAACCTGAATTCATACACTGATATTCCTTTATGAACACAATAATTTTACAGCGATTTGTAACAGCCTGATGTCACTAAAGAAAGGATAGGTGGTATTAGTAGTCAAGAAAGGACGGGTCAAGCCTGCAACATCTGTGCAAGGAGAAAATGAGGTTGTTAGGAAAGCATAATGAAGAAGCCAGTCTACAAGTTAGAGTTTCTAAATAATTTCCTTTTTTCTTTACTTTCTTTGTCTTTGGAGACAAACTAATGGCTATAAAAAAATCATTTGAAGGAATTGTGAAAGAATTGTAAGCTTATGTTTCCAACTTGCCTTTGACAGGAAAACATCTAAGCTATAAAAAGTGGTTTTAAGAGCTTATAAAATTTTTGATTTTGTAAAATATAGTGAATGCAAGAAGTCCAAAACAATTGGGGAATATTTACAAATTATCCATGTCAACATACACATTACTTTACTATACCTGTAAGCGGGCCAACATTCCAAGCAATATTGTTGCACCAGCCAATAGCCTGAACCCAATGAACAGTGCCAGCATTTATCCATACCAAATCCCCAGGTCTTTGTATAAACCTATAAACAGGGACATTGGCTTCATATAAGTCTTCCAGATTAGGCCACCAAGAGCCCATTAGGAAATTCATATTATTTCTGAAACAAAAGAAAAAATAGAATGTGTAGCATTTATTGAGAGATTATTATTGGTCAAACCTTGCCAGTTAAGATAAAATTAAGTAAATCAAGATTATTTACCAAAAAAATCTTTCCAGTGTCTAAGTAATAACTCAGGAGACAAGCAAAATAAAAGGTTTCAATTTTAAAGTGAGTGATTATAATTCAGACAAACCATTAAACCCTGCTATTGTCCTACAATCTATCTGGTTGTTAGAAATATATAGGTGTCCTTCATTAATTTTCCACACACTACAATATTTTTTTCCTGAAATCTCAATATTGTTACCACTGAGATAGTTCCATTAGTGGTTACACCCAGCATAGCTTCAGTGCTGACTGACAGTGTACTGTTATTTTAACCATGATGGCATCTAAATCTGCTTAAGGCAAGTCTAAATAACATGGTGTTCAAAATATTAATAGTTGCTGCTGCCACGTTTCCACTACACTGTTATCATAGCTAGATTGCAGCAATGGTGGGGAAATTAAGAAGAAAAAAAGTATAGTGTAGACAAGACGCAGTGGACTGCTGAATACTTACTTATTACCACATTTACCCATATCCAAAATTATTTTGAATTTATGACAACACCCCATAATTAGATTCTACACATGGAAAATT